TCTTATGAAGGAAAAGTTGTTGGCCATTAAAAATACTGCTTTTGAAAGCTCTTTAATGCTATCAGGAGATTCAGAACATAATGTCAAATAGAAAAAATAATATAAACTGTATATGCCAAATAATCCAACTTTTGTTTAAAAATCTTATATACACACATTTTTAGACCTCCCCGCACCAAAATGTTAAAAGTGTTTCTCTTGAGTAACAAGGTGACTGGCGATCTGTTTCCAGTTTTCTGAAATAACCATCTACTGCTGTCCTAATAAGTAGGTGTCTTTTAGGTTCAGGCTTAACCCCACCTTTCACTCTTTAGTCATATAATCTATTTGGCTGTATTTGCTGAGGTACATTTTTTTAAAAACACCAAGTCTTTTATGTGCACTGTGACAAGTGACATTCTCAGTGGCATTAAAAAAATATCGCCCTCCAGTCCACTCTTAGAATGTGAAGACTGAAGATTTATGGGATTTTAAGAATCAACGTGTTATTAAAGGATTCTTTAATGTGACTGATTAAAAGTATAATTTACATAAGAAATTGTGTTAGTTCTATAGTGCCTCCTTTCTGCTTTTTAAACTATTAGGAGGTATATATTATTTCCTTATGATCATTCTAATTAATATGGCTGCTAAAAATTAACTTTGTTATAATTAACAGTATCTGTAGGCAACATAGAGTAGAAAATAGACCCTTTTAGCCTTGTTGTCTATTAAGTGATATTTTTAAAAGCATAATGTAAATGATTGCAGATATATTAAAATGGCAAGAATTAAGGTGAAATGACTATTTTCTTGTCTATTTAATTTTTATTCATTTTTCTTCCTGTAGGATTGAATTTAAGAATAGATTATAGGGTTATCATATAATGCTAGAATGTGAAAGCAGAGGTGCTCTTTCTCCCTTGGTTCTTTCCCATTAAGCCTGATAACTGGCAGTTTTAGGACAGGATAGAAGAACTGGTGAACAGACAGTACCATGTGAACTTGTTTTTAGTAAAGGAAATTCATACTTTACCAACTTCTAGGATACTGTGGCTGTGATAGATAAGGCTACATATTGGGCACCACTTTAATTTTTTGACAGAAACATTTGTCAAAAAATTCCATACAGTATTGAGGTTAATGTTGAATAATAGGAGTTCTGGAATAACTGACTAATAGCTTGGCAGCATTAAAGTTGGCTAGGGTAGCAGGATATCGTTAATCATTAGTGGAATATTTTAAATCTGAAATGCTAAGATGTGTAATAGTTGGTGTTGATTTTAACCAAAGGGTAAAAGAACTAATTAGTTCTTTGGTTTTTCTTTTTAATTGATGGCAGTAACTATAAATTTAGGGGAAGTTTTACTTAAAAAAGGAAACAACAAAAAACTAATATCAAGGCCTGGATTCTAGAGTTCATATCTGCCATTAGCGTGTTAAGTGATTGAATCAGGTGCTGACAGTCTGAGATGTTTAATTTTTTTTTCTGAGATGTTTAATTTTTACAGTTTAAATTTTACAGTCCCAATGTTGAAATAGGCATTTTCAATTAAGAAGCTTTATGTTACCTACCACAATAAAAACTCACTCTCACTGCCAGAGAGTCAGCGCTGACTCATAGCAACCCCCTGTGGGGTTCGGATGCTGTAACTGTTTATGGGAGTAGAAAGCTTTGTCTTCCTTCCGAAGAGCTGTTGGTGGTTTTGAACTGCTGACCATGCAAGTCAAGTTGGAATT